AAAACAGAGGTAATGGAATCACTATATGAACTCTTGATGTCCTTATAACAGAAAAAAACGTGTAGGTAATAATAAAAATTTCTGAATAATTTTCAGTCAAATAATTCAAAAATGGTTACGAATATCAATAGGGATGTGTTTCAATTTTGTATCACAAGGCCAAAAAATATATGGGGTGTTCCTGTTCCATTCGGAAAACTCGAAAAAAATCAGTTACGAATCGAAAAAGCAGGGCTGGAGTAAGCAAGGGAATAAGTCATGACTTCTAAGAAAAAGTCAAAAAGTCCGACTTTTCAAATTAATTCGGACTTTGTTTGAATTAATTCACCTGAAAAATATCAAATTTTATTTACATAAACAAAATACGAAAACGTATACCTAACAAAAAAAACTAAGTTTTTATTTTAGCGATTTTCATTGGGCGCCTTGGCATTCATTATTAGTGTCATTTGAATAGCAATATGGATTCTTCTAACCAACTCAATACTGGATGAGAAGTGATACACAGAAATCGCAGAATTTATGACAAAAATATATTGCAAGTCGGTCATTCCGATTCAGTATTGAATAGCCTACATAGTCAGATGTCAGATTGGAAATTTCAGTTTAATTGAACTAGTTTGAATTAAAGGTAAATGCGATTTGTAATTTGTAATCTTGAATCAATTCATGACTTATTTGAAAAAAGTTATTAAATCACTGACTTATTTCATATTATGAATTAATTCCTGCTAACCGAGGTGCCAACCCTGATTCAGGAATATCACGCATCTTCCTGATCAATCGATATTATGATTATTTTCTCTTGAATTTCATAATTGCGACGACAGTGTTTTGACAAAAAAATTAATAAATTTGATATGATCGAGATATATTCAAGGATATTAAAGGGGTGGATAGAGGTCTCAGGGATGCTTCTAAAAATGTGCTAATTTACAGGGCATTCCTAAAAAAAATGACCCTCGGTGCGCCTTGTACCTACCTATAGGTGGCAATAATTTCTAGTTATGTACCTTGTTGTCTCATTTACATTAGTTTTTGGCGATTATGGGTCATTGGGGTCAGTTAGCCCAAGTAAAAGGCATATAATCAACATTCAACATCAGGTAGCCATTATCGAGAAACGCCAATTTTGGAAAAACAGTTATACTACAATTTCAAGAATTCTGCAAATTACAAATTTTTTGTGCTTTTTGGACTCTCCGATTGATGCTCTACAATTAGTAGAGAAGGAGATAGGCAGTTGAGAGTGATTATAAAGCTGCAGGACTTTGAAAATAGGGTTATGGCAGTTTCTACCAAAATTGTAAAACAGAAGGGAAAACATCACCATTCTTTGATCGCGAGGTTAGTTCTGAGGAACTAACTCAGGAACTAACCGGAACTAACCAATTAATGAAGAATAGGTACTAGCTTTGGTAGATCTCCTTGACTATATTAGTAGTCCTACCATGTCCTACCCATGGGTCTTACCTACCAATATCAATGTTACCTTCACAGCTCATATTTATTCACTGTTTTGAGAATAACAGAATATAGGTATCCATACTTAATTCATCAAGCAAATTTCAAGAAAGAATATACTCAATATATTAATATGAGTAGGTTGTAGCAAAACAGTCAAAATTAATCATATCCTATATACCTAGGTACTGTATAGTGTAGGTATATATATATCTCGGTATAAACGACATAAAAATGTAAATATTTATAAATGATATTCATGTATCTAAGAAGTCATACCTACCTATAAATATAGCACAGATTTTCAAATAATGTTAAAAAACAAGTTTCTAGTGAATAGAACAGAGTATTACGCATTGCGTTTTATCGAAATCACCGAGGAAATCACCTCCTAAGAAATGCATTCAGTCATTCGAGTCATAAAGGTTATCCAAAAGAAGTATACCTACATTGAATCCACACGGAAGAAAACAGTCTATTTATTTAGAGATTTACCTGTGCTGCTGTCGCAAATCCAACAAGGATCGCCCAACATAGTATGGTATGTATCCTAAACTGCATCACAAAACAGTATCAAGTCTTTGAAGCCCTATTTTAGTTATTGTAACTTAAATAATAATAATATGGCACGACACACACAACACAACCCACTATTGCAAGTATTGCATTGAGTACACTGATCAATCGCCCGACTTGACTACATATCTTGTAGAACGCATGCGCCTATTTCAACTAGGCGCCATCATTCAAAAAATTATGTTCGAAATAACATGAAATAATTATGCATAAAAAATCAAAAGCAACTATCGATATTTGACATAAGTTAATGAAATTCTTGCAAGATAGTATCTCATTGATATGATTCATGAAGGACTTGGAATAGGAATCTCTTTACTAATTTAATGAATGGTTAAACCACAGTATACACCCTAGCGGGGGTATACTGTGGTTAAACACAATCGAGTTGTTCAGGAACAGAAATCGCTCTTCTTTATGACGTCAACGGCACATAACGTAGTATCGCGGGACGATGGTGGTACAGAACTCCGGGTATGTACAGCCCAAGGATTATAAACTCTAGAAGGATTGCCAGATCCCGCAAAATCTTCTGCCGTGGTCACGTGATAGGGTATCAGAACTACGTCATCACATTGATCGCAATATGGCCGTCAAATTGGAAAATTATTTTTATTGTATTTATAAAATATCTCAAATAATGAAATTGAGGGACATGAACTAGAATAATCAACTCTGGGTGTAATTGGAAGGTAATCGTTGAATGGTCTCACAGGCTCACAGGTTAGTGATTCAAATAATTATTATGTAATGTAATATTTTTGTTGCACAAATTACGAAAATGCATTTATTATTCATTGTTTTCAAGTTTTTGGTTGTTTCAGATACTCTCAATAATAATGGGAAACCGAAGAATATCACATGGAAAAAATATGGTCCATTTCATCAACTGATGATAGTGATGATATCAGTAGACTTGGGATCATTGAGAATGCTAAGCAGGTATGTTAAACAAATATTTCTCTTCATAGTATAATTTCATCTTTGCTCTCATGTTTCAGTGAACTAGAAATAGATCTTTGACAGAGGAAGATGTATTGAAAGCTGATGGTCATTAAATATGTAGAGTAGATGAAGCAATAGCAAACACATAATAGGTAGTTATATAAAACTTATGTTTGCAAACATTAGCTCTTGGACAGCCTACACAGTCTAAAGCATAAAGGTACTTGGCAAGCAGGGATTTTTCAAACATATCTTCCCTGTAAACAGGTGGTGTTATTTTTGTTGTATTACTGGTTCATCACAGCTCAGCAATGATCTTTTGAAATTTCAGAAATGAAGACTAAATGTGAGCTGTACAGATCTGAAGTAGAAAATAGAAAAGAAAGAAGAGGGTTCAGAGATAATGTTTAATATTCTGAGTGGATACATTTAAATCTCCATTAATTGTTAATTGAAACCATGTTGCAAGGCTATATTAGAGTATTTTATGGAAAATATGCATTAAAAGTTGCTATTCAATATCCACAGTGATTGGCAATATGGAAAAAAGGAGATAAATGAAAATAACTGGTAATTGAATTTTTGACATAATTATCATCTGATACTCACTTTGAATTATTTAAGGTTTACTTTCACATGATAGGAAGAATACTTGGAAAATAAACTGGTTTTTCCAGGAAAGCTTAAGAAATGAATTTGTCAAGCATCGAGGAAGCTACAACTTTTCCTACCTGTAAGTTGAATATGATTGTAGTACATAAGTATTTTAACATATAAAATTGTAGATTCCTCTAGCTGAAGTTGGAAACATGTCACATTTTAACCTTTTAAAAATTATCAAAATCTGGAGAAAACTGAGGATTCCTACTTTCCTTTAAAAGTTAATCAATTTGTCTCACAATATTCCTCCAGATAGTTATTTTTGAGGATGAAATGATTGTAAAAAAAATCAAAATTCAGCTCAATTATTTTAAATTAATTAAATTTTCAGGTAAATAAATGGTTCAGAGAAATTTGTGGAACTGTGTAATTACTCAATACATGAATAGTGATACAAGAGGAAAAACATACACATTTTGTGGAGGAGGACCTTAGTAAAATTGGAAGGCACCCAATTTTTTCAGTGTATTATTTTCCTTAAAGTTGTATAGCTAGTAGTACAATAGTAAAATTCAAAGAAATATAATATATTATGGATGATGATTTGTAAAGAATGTTTCAAGAATATGTTACATTATCATTTCACTAATTGTAATGAGTATTGTGATTAAATTTGAAAATTATAAATTTGATTTTCTGAAAAAACTTCAATTTCCTTATTGGTTTATAGGGGAATAAAAACAAGACTTGAAATCAATTCATTTTATTCAGTGGGAACAGTAATAGTGGAGCATTTGCTTATATTGGAAATAATTGAAAAGGTAACAACTTCTGTAAGTATTTCAAAGTATCTGTTTTTGTATATTGAAATTTGAAAACCTATAAGCTCTATGGCTAATCTGAAACAAAGTTATTATGTTTTGATAAAATAGGGCCAACTTTCCTATCAATAACAATTTTCTTGAGTAGGTATGAACATTGTAGGATACATTTCAAGCAATTTGATCATAAAAATAATTATCTGCCAGATTTTGTTCAATAGCTGCATTGCTAATCTGAAACTAAGTAATGTTTTGACTTGTGAAAAATAAAAATACTGATTTTTCATATAGAGTAACTTTCCTTTTTACAAATTTTCAAGTGCTGACTTATGTCAAGAGCTTCATTAAAGATGTATCTTTTCTATTTGTATCTTCTGGCATTGAATCATTGTTTCCATATTCTTGTACTTTTCCCCAAATTGTCTATAACCTAGATAGTATAAAGTTGATGAAATTCTGTTCACATTTGATGATGATTGGACTTTAATGGACTTGATGTATTTGTTCTTGGCCAGTATCATTTCAGACTACTTCCATAGATCTAATTATGCTACTTCCAATAATTTTTCTGAATGGTCTTGTGTCTGCCCTGCATCATAGTTTTCTTGAATTTCTGCCAGTTCCAGTGTGGGAAATGGCAGTTTTTTTCAAAATCCTCTTCAAGGGTGAACCTGTAACAAAATGCATGATAGATACAACTGTTATCTGTAAGTCAAGCATATAGTTTTGTGAGAAATGCAATCTTTACCTAATAATTCATTCTTCAAGTCTCTTTCATAATCTTCTATTGTGAAATAACAAGAACACATTCTACTTGAATCTGGATTGAACGTTGTTTTACTGCTACATCTGGTTATCCATTCTTGTCTGATGGTAACAAAACCAGGAAATCTATGAAAAATAATACCAGCACCTGCAGTTTTGGAATAGGCCATAAACAGCACAGCACACCCCAGGCATTTTATTGGTTAATCTGTGAGAAATATACAACTGTAGGTATGTGTATTCATGTACAAGGATCACAATCAAACTAGCGGATACACAGAAACTATCTGCAAATCGTCCCGAGTGTATGAACCAATCAGAACGATTCTAGCTATGGCGGTGCATTCAAAATGAATGGTGATCGAATCCGAATCTTTTCGAGAAAAGAAAATAGGATGAAGTGGAAAATTTCAGTCATATAAAAATATAGTATTCAACAAAATTAAATGGATTGAGTCTATTTATCCTTAACAAACTAACCTATTCCTAATTGCAATATTTTTTGAGGAAGGAAAACCAGAATGAAGTAAATATACACATTGATCAATGATAAGTCAAGTTTTTCAACAAAATTGGATAAAATGAGACTGTTTATCCTAAACGCACTAACCTATTCGACATTCGATATTTTTTGAGGAAGCTAAACCAGAATGAAGTAAAGATACATTGGTGAAAAAAAGTTGTTAAAAAAAGATTAAGTTCATAGCCAATCGAACCTGGGACCTGCAGATCTGTATTGATATATGCGCGCGCATTCGGGACGATTCGCAGATGGTTTCTGTGTATCCGCTATTCACAATCAATACTCACAATGAAGTTGTTCTTTGCAAAGTACTTCACAGGCTGTAAAAATTCTCTGTATGCACTCAAATTCACAATGGTTAGGAGGCTTCGAAAGTCTCTTTCCTCTTTCTATAATCTGTAATTCGATGGTTGATAGCTGATGAGTGATCACTCATAAATAAAAAACATGAACAATTTCTCACAAATCACTCAAATCACACAAAGAAACCTTGGAAAGCTTTGAAAGATGTAACATTAGCGCGCGTTTGCTAAATATTTCAGCCATGTTTGTTTATGTTTTGTGTATTATTTCGACCAATAGGATCACGGCATGATCACAGAAAACAAAAGAGATGCGAAAGGCATCAGCATGACGTCACATTTTAGGGAATACATTGTAAGATAGGGATCTAGCACTCCTTCTCTGTATACTCTCCTTGTGTACAGCCCAGCCACAGAACTATGGTACGTACAGCCCAAGATCATTAAAATAGACAGGTTGCCTCATAAATTTCCAGCCAATCAGCGCCAGCGTGAATTACGTCATTGGTGTGCCCTTTCGAGCCAAGCAAGCAAGCATGATCGAGTTTGTTTACAATTTCTGCCATGCTATGATGAAACATAGAGGTTAATAATTGATAAATCGTTTTAAAATTATGTAGGTATCGTAATTTGTTGAATTTCAGTGACCACTTCTCAATCATCAATATTGTATTCGAAAAATAAGAATATTGTTTAAAATAGTATTCCTTTGTAAGGACCTTTCCTTCAATTCAATATGAAGGAAGACACTTTAAAAAAAGTCAGAATGGTCATCGACTTTCTTTGGCACAGGTATATTTTCCTAAATGACACCCATCGAGGCCCTTGGTATGTTCTGAATATTTGCATTACCACAAACAGACCTTCCATATAACATCTGTTATCAAATCTAGGAATGTAATATCAAGATTGAATCAACCTCTGAAGAAGATACTACTAATGAAAACCAGCTACCTATTGCAAGAATCAGTTGACTAGGTCCTTGAAAACCAATGAAAGTATGAAGATTTTGTTTGACTTCAACCTCTGTGGTTTATTACATCTTTGGGTTCGAAATTGTATATTATATCTAATCAGAAACTATGCATCTAGAGATTGCCCAGTGATGCTGGCTACATTGAATGTGGGAGCCAGGATAAGGAAGTTATTGATATTGAATTCATCTATTGAAAAATATTGAAGATTGTGAATAATAAAATCTGTTTGCTGAAAACCAGAGTTCTCAAAGTCTGGTAGTATTACCTATATCCTTTACATTCATGATGTGACCTACTTCAGACAGAATTGTATATTTGTATGGGTCACAAAATAGGTGGTTTTATGTCATCAAAAAGAAAAAATCCAATGTTTCTAAAAATCATTGATTTTATTGTGAACTGTAAGATATTATATATGTACCTTTCATTGTTTCCTTCATTTGTAATCGAAAATTGTATAATGAACAGCAAGAGATTCATGGGGCTTCAGAGGGCTTGAAATCCATATACAAGTTATCATAAAGAATAAACTTTTATTAGGAAATACACCTTATTAGGAGAATACAATGTTTAAGTTTTGAAATGTTAAAGTCCTACATTCATTATAATGATGAAAAAAGCATGACTTTGGAGTATTATTAACTGTTATAAAGGTAGGAGGTCATATTGAATTCATTTTTGCTCTTTTTCATGTCATTCCTCAAAGAATACAATGTTTAAGTTTTGAAATGTTAAAGTCCTACATTCATTATAATGAGGAAAAAAGCATGACTTTGGAGTATTATTAACTGTTATAAAGGTAGGAGGTCATATTGAATTCATTGTTGCTCTTTTTCATGTCATTCCTCAAAGAATCATTTTCTGACTGTAATTCTTCCACTATTTAATATATCATGTCCTATTCGAATGAGTCCATATTGTTTTTCAAAAACTTTCAGTTGGTCAGGAACAACTTCTGGAAATGAATAAAATCAGTACCTATATAATACTATATACCAACATTTTATAGATATTCTCTAAGCCCATCTGATTGCAGAATCATCTGAATTTAAAATATAAGTAGCAATATAAGTACCATTATTAATTTCGTTTTCTACCTCCACTTCCTGGATTTGATTTTCTGAACTTTTCTTGGTGTCAGCTGATTCTGAAGAAACAGAAATTGATTCTTGATGGTCTTCTGAAGGTGAGAGGAATAGTGATGGTACAGCTACAAAAAAAATATAATATTAGTACACTTAACAAATTTGGACCACACAAGCATACACTTCACGACCTGTTCTTTTCAATATCTTTGGAGCAGTTTTGCTACAAATACGTTTGCATTTTGGCGAAAATGGATCTGTCCTATTGCACTTCCTCACCCATTCCTCACATATTTCGGGAGTTCTCGGAAAACGAAAAAATCTCAGGTTTTTCGTTCTTTTTGGAGTATCTCGAATTCTTCTTGCAGCCAGCCACACTACAAACTGTCCCACCTGGCATCTGGAAGGGATTCGAAGGATTGTTCGTTTTTATCACAAATAATTATAGGTTATTATAAACATATTTCATAAAATAGATTTACTTACCTTGTTTTAGATGTATGACCAACTGATATTCAATTGCACAATCAAAATGCTGAATAATCATAAAGATGAATCATCAAACTGAAAACTAACTAAAAAGATTAAACTAATTTGAAAGTAATAAGAAAAGAAACAAAGCTTGCGCGCGAATATCGAAAGCTTTCTGAAATTCAAAAGAGTAAAGAATCGTTCGGGATGGGCGGGGCTCGGGGCACTCCCGTGACGTCATGATCATGCATCCATTGCGACCTTGAAAAGTTATGCTGCAACCTGTCTATTTTAATGATCTTGCGTACAGCCAATACAGCTACAGCACTAAGCACGAGTAAGTACAAGCATAGAGACAGTGAAATTGAAGGAGAACTTGGAGGCATTTTGGAAGGAGCGTCTCCCGCCTTGAAAGAGGGATTGCGATATCCTATGTCCTCATATATTTTGTCCGGACAGCCATCGTAAATGTGTTCGTAGTTTTCCACTCCACTGGACTAAATTTATGCACCCCTGATCGATTTCACATGATAAATAAGGACAAATACGAAAGTGTAAAAAACCCACCAAGAATAAAAATGAATAAAAAATACAAATGACTACAACTTGTGTATCTCACCATCATTTTTATCCTTTTCACCATACATTGTAAGTTGATGTATCGTAAAAACCTTTTTTATTTCGAAACACATTGCGGCAATGTATTGTAAAAACGTTTCATTGTGGCAATAAAGTATTGCGATGATGCCATTTCGTGCATAACACATTATTGTGAAGAAAAAAGGCGTCAAAACAAGCATCGCTAGTATCTGAAGAATCTATGATTTCAAAAATCATTGTAAAAAACTATAATGAGATATTCATGATAATTCAAATTTCAACCATTTTCCCACTCTAATATTCAAGGTGTATCGCACCGTCGCACGAGCACGGTTCAAAAACCCGAACTTTGAGCGAGAATCGAACAAGTTTGTAAGCCATTAGCCAGTGGAGATTATTTCTCGATAGAATTTTGCTCTTGAAATTCTCACTGGACCACGCGAAACGCGCTATCAGTGCCGAGAAAATACGAACTAGTGCGAGTGGAAAACGCAAACGAAAAACGCTATTAGGAATATCGGCTGTCAAACGGGAGAAGCAAAAAACTTGTGTTCTGTGCTTAGATCATATGATCTAAGGTTCTGTGTTTGGGCGAGTCTAAAGTGGCGTTCACAGCCAAACTTTTTACGTTTTGCTTTTTACGTTTCGCATTCTGATTGGTGAAGCAAAATCTGGAATGGACATGACGCAAAAAGCTGAATATTTTCAGCTTTTTGCGTTGCAAGATGTCACTATGTGTGAAAATGGCACGATGTAAGAAAATGGAAAAATATAGACAAATACTCAATACTCAACCTATTTCCACACAATACCTCAATGATAGTCTCACCCAATATTTGCCTTTTTAGGATTGATTTTTCTCTTTAAGTAAAAATTTACGTCTCTGCCAGTTCTCATGAATATTCTTCGTTATTTAATTAATATTATTGTTGTGATTATTTCATTTCATTTCATGATGAAGCACAAGTGACAAAACCGAGGCAACTGAGAAAAACCGTGAAAACTCACGTTAACGTTTTTTTGTTGAGAATGACATTTGCTTCAGTTTAATTCACTTTTAATTTCAGAATTCGCTTCACCAATCAGAATAAGAAACGTAAAAAGTTTGGTCGTGAACCCCGCTTGAGGCTATATTCCGAATTCGATTGACAGTTCAGAATTTGCTGATTCTTCATTCCGGAATAAAAAATTCACAATATGCCTTAAATAACGCTAGCGTGGATTTTGTTCATGAACGAGCGTCTCCGACCAGGAAGGAGCCATGATTGTCGGCTTCATTCTGTTCTGACCTGATACAGTTTTTGATTGCTGACCGGCCTGACAGAAGTGCCTAAATCTTTCTAACCATTCCCATCGCGTGGTGTTGAGATTCTTGCTTTCTGATGATTATTTTTCGCAATAAATTTTGTGTGGAGGCTGAGTTTGGCCATGGAGTTTTATTCTGGTCCTCTAATAGCATGACGTCAGTCCACTGTGCTCATTTGTTTGGTGATTTAGGCTTTCCAGGATGTTTTACCTTCCTCTCGAGACCCCGAGTTTTTTTAATGATTCTCAGAGTTTTTCTACGAGCTGGGCGTGTTTTTCATTCCATCGAAGAAAGTGCGCACTGATAGATGCGGTTTTTTGTCGTGACACATTGATGCGGTAACACGGATTTTGTTGTGTGTCAGTCATCATGTATCTTGAGAATCAGAAAAGGCTAATTCGACTTTATTGATTAACACTGACTCTTTCTTCTAAAATCTCTCAAGAATCTCAAAAATCCTCAATATTAATTGTTTTCTATCAAATCAAAACAAAAAACAACACTAAAATGTGTCAACTGTCATGTCAATCTCCTCCAAACTGCTGGATTCTCGAAATGCGATTTAAAAGTGCGCATTTTATTACAACAGTTTGATGGATGTCCATCAACATTCCAGCGGAATTTTGCAACAGTTTGATGGTTTCTTCGATTTATGCGCATGATAAAATGTTGGAATGAAAAACGCACCCAATTTATGGATCAAGTGATTCACTGTGACCAATCTGACAATGAGGCTTGAGAATGGTTCGAAAACTTTAGGCTCCTGACCTGACCTACAGTTCGTTAATGTCACAAAAACCGTGA